CTGGGCTCTCCAGCTCTGGTCTTACCCACCTGTGCTCGGACATGAAGCCCTGCTTATGCCTGTCCCTGGTCTTCTACGCCTTTATTTAAGCGCCATCCTGGGAGTGCCACCCTCCCTCCACTAGAAAGTAACTGGATTTTACCTCCATACACGGAGCCTTGGTGGCGAAGCAGTTATGAGTTGGACTGTGGTCAGAAAGGCCAGCAGTTCAAAACCACCACCCACTCCGCCTCGGGGAGAAAGATGGGGCTTTCTACTCACGTCAACAGTTAGTCTTGGAAACTCACGGACCAGTTCTACCCTGTCCTATGGGGTTGCTATGCGTCAGCATCAACTTGATGGCATTGAGAAAACCTTCCCAATTCCCGAAGGGCAAGGCTCATTGTCTTCCGTTCCTCAAGCAAGAGAGTCTCCTGCCCTTTTACCTTTTCTGAACGGAGCCTGAGAGCCGATGTCAGGCAGGTCTGGATTGGAACCCCAGTTCGATTCATCCCTTCTGTCTAACCCTGGGCACATTACAAACCTCTGAGCCTCAGTATTCTGGTCTGCAAGGTGGGGAGGATCCTAATTCCTGAGGGGGGTCTTGTGGGGGATTTGGGGAGATTGTACATGTGAAATATTCAGCGCCCTGCCCGGCACATGGAAAACATTCAGTGAACGGTCCCAGGAAATGGGCCCCTTCCATAGATTTGAGTATAGACTTTGCATTCTCCTTCCACGTCCTTCCCCAAGCGTAGCTACAGAAAGGGGCACTGCGGCTCTTTATCCAGAGCCCAAAGAGCCTCCTTCCTGGGCCGCGGCAGGCTCATGCAGGGATCTGAGATGGCCAGCTTCCTTGTCCATCTCTCGCCTACACCATTGACCTCTAAGAGGTAGGCATCTAGGCATGAGGTCTTGCCCAACAGTGATGGCTCTGGTGCCTGGTCCCTCGCTGATGATTAGGACAGTGGTTATCTAGCCCACTATAGGGACAGAATTCCTTTGCCAAATGGGAGTGTATGTGATGCTCCAATGCACATAACAGCTCAGGCTGCCCCCCCTCCTCCCCCCACCCTGCCCCGCCCCACCCAAGGGGACACTTCTTCCACATAGACTCCAGGCCTGGCTGTGGGGAAGCAGTGGGGGAGAGAACCTTGGAAACAGGACATTCCCACTTCCGCTTTCAACTGGGGAAGTACGGTGTGGGAGAGTCCTTTCAGAGCACGGTGCTGGGAAGGCCCCGGTGTTCTTACAGCCCAGGCTCATGTAGCCAGAGTGAGGGACTTGGGTCACTGAGCCCCGCCCGGCTCCTGTTCCAGCCGGGTTCCTTTCTCACAATCCTGTCTCTGGAAAATTACAAGACTTCAGTTCCGTCTGTCAGATGTCTTCTTGGGCGCAGGCTCTGGAGGAGCCTGGTGAGGGGCCTGAGGCATGGAGAGCCAAGTCAGCAGCAGGCAGAACCTGAGGGCCCACAATCATCCCTTGTTCTGGATTTGAAAACCACTCCAGCACCCAGAGCCTCCCCAGCAGGCACCCCCCCCCCCCCATCCCTCCCTGGCCTCTCTTCTTGGTCCTCTCCAGATACCAGCCTTCATCTACTGGAATAAAAGGAGTTACACTTTCTTATCCTCTGCTTCCTGGTGCAAAAACAAAAACAAGAAAACAGGCAAAAAACTCATCGCGTTTGAATCAAGTCATAGTGACCCCATAGTACCAAGTTGAACTGCTCCATAGAGCTTCCAGGACTGTAAGTCTTTATAGAAGCTAACGGCTGCATCTCTCTCACAGAACTGGTGGATTCGAACGTTCACCATGAAGACACCAAGACATTGAACCTGGGCTCAAGTTCATTGTATGACCTCAGGAAAGCCTCTACCACTTACTAGGCCTCTTTGGTGACATCC